CACTGCTATCATGTCCCCCCTCGTCCTTCTCTTCCTTAAACTAGACATACCCAATTCCAGCAACCGTTCCTTATATGTATTAGCCTCCAGTCCCCTAATCATCTTTGTTACTCTTCTCTGTACTCTTTCTAGAGTCTCAACATCTTTTTTACATCGTGGTGACCAAAACTGGATGCAGTATTCCAAGTGTGGCAAGGCATTTCCAAGGCATTGTAAAGTGGTATTAATACTTCACGTGATCTTGATTCTATCCCTGTTAATGCAGCCTAGCACTGTGTTGGCTTTTTTGGCAGCTGCAGCACACTGCTGGCTCAAATTTAAATGATTGTCCACTAGGACTCTGAGATCCCTCTAAATAATATAGCAGCATGACAATGAATTTCACTTTAAGGAATATGTGAGATAGCTGACTGTCAACCTGCCTTCCTTAAGAGCTCAAAGTTTTCAAGTTCAAATGAGCCATAGAACTTACCTTTCGAAGCAGGTGGTGTGAAGAATCTGTTTTGGCTGTGAAAGGCTCCACGCCCTCCACGGTTCCCTGAGAAGCCACCACGGGAAGAAATTTTCTGTGAAACTTTAGGTGGCCTCTTGGGAGGTGGGATCCCATCTGGTGGAACCACCTCTTTGCTCTCTGCAGCTACAAAGTCATCAACATGCATAGAGGGCGGCCTGCTGGTATTCTGTTTCCTCTGACGGAAGATGTCATGGGGGCGGATGCCTTGGCCAAATGCTCCCCTGCCTCTTCCTCTAGGTGGAGGTACAATATGAGCCCTCTTGGCAGGTTCAATGTATTCTGACTTTCCACTACAGAGATGCAAGAGTGAAGGAGAATTTTACAAATTCTTCACAAGCCAGCTAAAATCACATTAAACCTTTCTTGTTATTTTGTGGTCACTTTTCTGAATATTTTTCAGAGTTGAACTACATTGACATTGCTAGTTCAAGCAAGCATTTTCATATCAGTTAAATACAAATAGTATTACTATAACTCATTGATATGTTCTACAGAATTTACCAAATCTCAGATTTAAGTCTAAAAGGGGTTTAAGGAATCTTCCCTTCTTTTACCAATCTGTCATATCCTTATTTCATTCTAGCACCTATGGCACTCAGAGCCTATGGCACTCAGAGCCTTCTCTGTGGGCACGCGCGAACCTATGGCACTCAGAGCCTTCTCTGTGGGCACGCGCACCTTGCTCTTTGGCTAAGTTTTTGCAGAAAAAAGCCATTTCTCAAGCCCATTCCTAGCCAAAACAAGCCTCCAGAGCGAGCACACTGTTTTCAGCTTCGAATTATATCAAATCTGACACCAGAAACAGAGTAAACAGATGACCTGAGTGCTGCATGTGTTGCTCTCAAACTTACAAAGTATAAGCCAAGGTTAGACAAATTATCAGCATGCATACAATAGCAAAAATCACATTAATTGTTCAAAACCATGCCAAATGCAAACTTTTATCTTTCAGTAAAAAGTTGTTTGCATCATTGAAAGCTTTGTTATTGTGTTTTTCTTTTAAGACAAAAGATGTTAATGTATGAGTTGTTTTTTCTAAACTAAACCTCAGTATTCAGATTAAATTGCTGTGTTGGCACTTTGCAATAAATAAGTGGGTTTTGGGTTACAGTTTGGGCACTCGGTCTCTAAAAGGTTCACCATCACTGTTCTAGCACATATATTTGTAATATCTTAGAAAGAGCAATGCTTCTTTCATTGGAGCCCACTGTACATTCTTTGTGACAAAATAATCCAGACTGAAGCTCACCCACATTGGTTAGTTGCATCATTTTCAGCAACTCTTACTTTTTGGCTTGTTTTGTTTTGTTTTGTTTTGTTTCCCAAATTATGAAACTGGAAATTTCAGGGTTCATTTTTCTAAATTTTGTGATATACAATACATGGAATTTGAATGATTTAACATAGTTCACATAAACTATTAAGCTTATGAGATGTTTGCTGCAACAATGCAAACAATGTGCTGAATAGTTTGTGACCCCAGTTGTTAATCTCATTATATCATGCTCACAAAATTACAATTTGTGCAGTGAAGTTATATAAATCCATCTTTAGGTATACATATTGTATATATAATTGGATATACAGGTAGTCATTGCTTAATGATCACAATTGGGGCAGAAAATCTGTTGCCTAGCGAAATATCACATGATTTTGATGGACTTATGACCTCATTTCCACTGAGGTTGTTAAGCGAATTAGCCCCAGTTTATGTGAGATATCATATGACCATGACTTGCAATTTCATTGCTGGCTTCTCTATTGACTCTGCTTGTCGGAAGCCTGCTGTGGTACATACAAATGGTAAGCATGTGACTACTGGGATACTTTAACAGTTGTAAATGCAAGGACCAATCGTAAAGTTAATTTTTTAGCATCTTTGTAACTTTAAACCACGGCTAAACAGACCAGCCATTAAGTGAAGTCTACCTGTACATGTACAGAACCATTTTAGTGTACTGAGTAAAGGAGACTGTGGGGAATGAATGAACCTTAGAAATGAAGCCAGCTGAGTGATCTTGGGCCAGTCATTCTCTCTCAGTCCTAGGAAGTAGGCAATGACAAACCACTTCTGAAATCTTCTGCAGGGACTTGTCAGGCAGTTTTGCTATGAGTCAACTATGACTCGAAGGCACACAAAAATTGTGCAAAATCAAGGCCACTGGTTACCTGGAAGTTATAAACGTCTCATGCTTGTGTTTGCCAAGTTTAAAGCCTTTTGTGGTTTTGGTCAAACCAGGAGAAGAAGGCTCTGTAACAAACGACCTCTCTAGCTCTGCTTGCAGATCAAAGTCACTACATCCTTTTTCCGACAGTTCAATTAAGTCAACTTTCACCTACAAGAATGAGAAAATATTCCATTTTAGTAAATCCATGAGTAGCATACTATAATACTCAATATAATTAGAATGGAAAATATTCTACACTACACAATAGAAAAAGAAGACTTAGTAGAGTGGTGATGTGAATCCAAATCTCCTGATCAGTCTTTTCCTTTAGAAACTATGCAGATTAGATGGAAATTATCTGCAGATATAACCCCTCCAGAATTATTAGTTAACAGCTCGAGGAATGTGTATTAAAGGAATTCTTTAAAATAAAAGCTTTTCATTTACTTCATTTATTAAAATCAAGGCATTTCAAATTCAAAGCACTCTGCAGAATGTACCATTCAGACTGGACAGATTTTCAAACCTGATTATTGACCACAAGAATGTAGAAACAACAGCATCAACTGAAAAACATAGAATTTCAAATCTAATAGTGTCACAAATTGTAGCAAGTCTCTGTAGCTAAATCCCTCTTTGTCAGCTTTATCAAATCAAAGGGGTTTGTGAAAAGTAATACCGTAATCCGCTATTAATATCAGCTCTGTTCCCAAGCTGACCAAATACATAAAATATTACGTCTAGGATCAAAAGTAGAAAAAGGTCACATGTACTAAAAAAAAAAAAGAACCCTAGTCAAAGTAGGTTTCTATAGCATCTAGTAAATTGTTTGTCAGACCAAAGGGAATTTCAAAAAGATGCTAAAATATGTAATTCAGGATGGGAGAGAGGAAGTTGATCTGAAAAATCAAAATATAAAATTGTACTGGATAACCTCAAGTGCTAGCAAGCTTAACATAGGAGTTTGAATTCAATATTGTATTACTCATAGAGTTGAAAAATATTCCCCAAAATTACTTTTTAATTATTTACCATGTCAAGATCAGTTTCAATTTCTTCAGTCTGGAATGGTAAGAACCACATAGACTTCAACTGATCATCTATCACGTCTGCCAAGATGTACATAGTCCTGTAAGGAAAAACACAGCTTTTATTATTATTATATTGGTTGACACCTTAGGAATAAGTTGAGGTTACTAAAATTCACCAAAACTCTTCCATTTCTTTCCTCAAACCACTATTTACTAAATCTTTTCCTAAGACCAAATTCTAGTTATCCTGCCAAAAATCTTCTTGTAGCCCATATTGTTACATCTTTATGAAGACCCATTCTAACTAAAGATAAAAGGACAGCCCTTTACTATACAAACTGTTGCCATTTTCTCATTCAGTTGCAACTATAAGCTGTTTTATTATTTTAAAACTATATCACATTATTTTACCTGCCAAAAGTTATACCTAAATACATGGTATAATATTTAAAAAATGTAAAGTAAAAAGGAACAGATAGAACGCTAGAAGCAAAAATATACTTGTTTGATATGCAATTCTGGAAGAAAATTAACAGAAAGAAGGAAAAGATTGGTCTCCATGTTTTACAGAGAAAGAAAATGAATAATTTACTATAATAAATATAATATTAAGAATTATAAAATAGTACTGAGGAATTTTTACTTTGCTCCACAATGAACGAAAACTCATTTATTTAAATGAGATCCAAATATACCAATTCCATATATTATAGTTCTCTTGTCCATATAAATGTCTTTTTGTTACTTTACCTATTATTAAACAGATGTTGCAGAGATTCTGGAGCAGGCAAAATTGGTTCCACATCTTGATCACTTAGAGGACAAGCTTCTCCAGCAGATTCCAACATCTGCCTAAGTCCAACAACATTATCCAGTAATGATTCCAGGCTGTCGTCTTCCTTAGAACACTCCTAGATAAGAAATTCTACAGTCATCAATCATATAAAATCTAGCATTCTGGACAGTTAACAAGATATACAGAGAGAGCATTTCACCAGAATATATTTATTTTGGATTCCCATTAGCGATGATGCACTANTTCCAACATCTGCCTAAGTCCAACAACATTATCCAGTAATGATTCCAGGCTGTCGTCTTCCTTAGAACACTCCTAGATAAGAAATTCTACAGTCATCAATCATATAAAATCTAGCATTCTGGACAGTTAACAAGATATACAGAGAGAGCATTTCACCAGAATATATTTATTTTGGATTCCCATTAGCGATGATGCACTAGCAACACAATTATATCAGTTATATTAATGTAATGCAGCAAAAGGTGGCACTTTAAAGGTGAACAGATTTATTAAAAATTAATTTGTGTATACTAGAAGCCATTTCATCTGATATAGCATACAAATATTGTTGGCAGGTTATGTAAAATCAAGAAGATGTGTAGACAACAAGACGAAATAACCATAAAATCTGATAGATACAGGCAGGCAGAGAATTCTGTAAAAAGCTAAATGAATGCAGGTTGGCAACCGTGATCAAGAAAATCAGAATAACTGTGTTTATCATCCAAAAATGTGATAAAATTAATCTTATATTTCTCTCATTAGCTACAGTAACTATTCAACCTGAATAATGCACACACAATAAAGGTAGTCCTTGACTTACAACAATTCATTTAGTGACCGTTCACAGTTGCAACATCACTGAAAAAAAGTGACTTATGACCATTTTTCACACTTATGACCGTTGCAGCATCCCCATGGTCACATGATCAAAATTTAGACAGTTGCCAACTGACTCACATTTATGATGATTGCAGTATCCTGGGATCATGTGATCACCTTTTGCGACCTTCTGACAAGCAAAGTCAATGGGGTAAACCAGATTCACTTAGCAGTCATGTAACTAACATAATAATTGCCATGATTCACTTAATAACCGTGGCAAGAGAAGTCACAAAATGGAGCAAAAATCACTTAAGTGTCTCACTTAACAACATACATTTGGGACTCAATTGTAGTCATAAGTCGAGGACTGCCTGTATTCAACATTACTACCATATAAGTCAGTGATGGCGAACCTTTTGGAGACCGAGTGCCCAAACTGCAACCCAAAACCCACTTATACATCGTTGGGTGCCAGGTGGGTGTGGCTCATTGGGTGGGTGTGGCCAATTGGGTAGGCGTGGCTGCGGTGATAACGGCAGACTGGGTGGGACTAAAAAGTTCAATCAATCAATTCTAACTTTGCAAGATCTTTTTTTTTCCCGCAAGAAGTTGAAACTGATTGATTGAACCTTTTTTTTTTTTCCACAAGGCGGTGGAAGCCTAAAGCAAAAAGGTTTTATAAAACCCAGCTGGAGGCCTAGGACTGGGGCAATGGTGCGCGTGCCCACAGAGAGGGCTCTGAGTGCCGCCTCTGCCACCCGTGCCATAGGTTCGCCACCACTGGTATAAGTTTTCACTTATATTAAATAAATATATTATTTTTTAGTGAAAGTTACACTACCAAAACCAGTTTCTCCAGTTCAAGGAGCAGGTTTTCAGGAGTCTCTTCTTTGGTCTGCAACTGATACTTTAATTCTGCAGTACTAAGACCCAGGGTTCTGGTGGGATGACTTCCATCTACTTCCGCAAGACTCCCATCATCCCCACAACATCCCTGAAGAATATGAATAAGTATCTAGATGAAAAACTACTGCAAAAGGTATAAATAGTCATGTTATACGCAACATAATGTTGCCAATAGAGGACACATAAAATAAACAAATTCAAAAATCTTTATAACAGCTGTAAAATATAGCTTTGTGTACCCTTGTTTTCATCAAAAAGAATGCACTAATTTGTTATAGAAATGGCTAAGTTATATATTAAGAATGCAAAAGTAAAAAGTTGATATTATTTCTATCTTACTGCTCTGAAGAGTCAGGTGTTAATGCTTTTATTTTTCCCCCTTTGTCCTACAGTTCTCCTTTTCCCCCATTTCCCATTTTCCCAATATTTTCATTTTCATTTGTATTTCATACTTTGATTAATTTAATAAAAATTATATTTAAAAAAAGCAGTATACACTCATTCTGTTCTTTAACATGAACCTCCTCCTTTTAATACTAAATAGATCAACATGAGATGTCTTTCCTTTTCAATATCCATGTGGAAACATACTTATAGAATATACATCAAAGGGATTTTGCAAAACTTTTTTATATTTGTAGATCCATCATATGAAGCTTTTACAAAACCATATTGTTGACTATGTGATCATACGTAATTGTTCTTAGAACTTTTAACTTCTCTATAATGAATATAATTACGAGGATTTTCAACGTTCTGAGAATAGTGGTTTGAATTACTTGATGAATTAAGTGTATTTATTAAGCAACTTTGAGTGGTTCACAAAGTAAGAAAAAATAATAATCGAACCATATAACAATACAGTAACATTAAAAGTAAATGAATATAAAGATGGCAAAACCAAGCAACAAGAAAAACATGCAAACACTACTCCAAAGGAGCTTCAACCACCCTACCTAAAAGCCTGGAAACATTCCCTCGCTGAAAACCATCTGATATTCCTATTATTTTACGTTTTATTATTTGTTGCTTTGATGGAATTATCGTAGAGGATTTTTAAAAAAAAAAGGAGATAAGCCTGGCATATTTTAGCAATAGAAAAGCAAGATATAAAACTTCTTCAATGACATAACCTTAAAATCAATACTAACAAACTAAATTGACACTTTGTTTAGAAAGCATCTTAACTATTTAGAATAGCACAGTAGTCTTACTTCAAAGATATTTTGCTAAATTGAGGTATAACAGCCACATTGCTGAAAAATGTTAGCTTGTATTGACTTACCAAAGGATCAGAATTTAGTATCTGTCTCATGAAATCCAGAAAGGAAGAGGCAAGTTCTCCTGTGTCTTTACTGAAGCTGCTCACTATTCTCTTCAATACTGTTTGCAGAGCATCACAGTGTTTTGCCAGAGAACTAAGGTTGTTTCAAAAAGAAATGTTTTACTTTACCTACTGAATTTAATGTAGCACATAAGCGATCAAGAGACTAAAAAGCAACTAGTTCATGTCTCCATAAATGAGTATTGTTAGATATTGCTAAATGTGAAGTAATTTCATCCTACTAAATCAGTGGTTCTCAACCTGTGGGTCGGGACCCCATTTGGGGTCGATCGACCATTTCACGGGGGTCGCCAAGCAAGGCTGTCTGCCATTTTTTTGTCCGCCATTTTTTTCCCCTTTTCCGGCGGGTGCCTTACCTCCCTTGGGCTGGGCCAGCTGGTGGTCGGCCTGCTCCGTCTCTGCCGCTTGCCAGCTACGCCTCGGCCAGCGCAGGGGGCGGAACCACGCATGCGCGGCGCTCCCGGGCAGGGAAAGTCCTCGACTTACGACCGGTTGGGTAGTCCTCGACT